CTGCAGGACACCGGGATGCCGCAGTCGGGACACTCAAAGTCGACATGAGCAGGCGCCATGTTACCGCCCTCTTTCGCCTCCTCTCCGTCTTGCGCGATGGTTGGCACCCGCGTGGGCCGGTGGTCGGGGTGAGAACAGTAGGCATGCTGCCTCATGAACGCCGCGCGGCGACGAATCGCTGGGATTGGGCTGTTCGAGTACGAATGGAAGAGGTTATCCTGCTTCAGGGCAGGCTGATATTCCGTAGCGATAGTCTTGGAAGCTGTAGCTGTTTGCGAGAAAGCCTTGGAGGTCGAGGCAAAGCCTCTTGCCGGGGCGGCGTTTTCTTTCGATCGTCTCGGCGTTGTCGAGTGGATGGCACGGATGGAGTGGGCCGACACAGCGCGGGCAATATGAGCGACAGGTCTGCCGGCGACTAATTGCCTCCTTGCGGTGGTCGAGCATCGTGTGCAGAGACCAGAGGCCGCAGCCCTCAGAATTGGCTCCATGACAGTGGTGTGGTGGTCCCGAACAACGAGAGCAAGTGTGTCTCGGGAGCGATCTGGTGGTTCGAGCAGAGCCCTCCAAAGTACCATGCAACCATGATCCCGAAATTTTGGAGGATCATCCGGCTCAATCATCGGTCCGGGCTCTCCAATGTACCCCACATGCTGTTGATTGGCCTCAGTGAGCTCCCAGCCCCCACGTTTCGCGCTATCTTGATCAATCCACGCTTCCTGAGCTCTGAAATTTCGTGCCTGGAGCTCTTCACCTTTCCAGCTCTTCACCTTCCCCCTAACTTGCGCCTTCTCATCACCCCCGATTTCCAACTTGGACTTCAGACTGATGCCGCGCAGGCAACCTGCGGTCCAGCTGTCATCATGGCAACCACCTCGAACATGTTTCTCTACTCCCTGACGGTCCAGCCGCCAACGAACGTCACGCTGGCCGTCCTGGGCCAGTTCGCTGGAACCAGGGAGCAATACATTATCACCGCCTCTGGGTCGCGCATCACCCTCGTGCGACCTGATGCCGCCCAAGGCAAGGTCGTCACTGTGCTTTCGCACGATGTATTCGGCATCATTCGGTCCATGGCCGCCTTTCGTATTGCCGGAAGCAACAAGGGTAAGTCGCTCGTGGTCCGCCCCCCACCCCGCCCTGCTCCTCCCCCCTCCCCTTTTGAGGCTTCAGTTAGTGATTCGAGAAGCTTGTGCTCCTACCCGGAGCATGCAGTCTCAGCGATCCACTCGGCTGGCGGCAGATGTCTTCTGAGCACCGCGCTAAAGCTGTTCTTCAGACTACCTCATTCTCGCGACGGACTCTGGCAGGATTGCCATCATTGAGTACCTCCCGGCGCAAAACCGATTCCAACGTCTTCATCTGGAGACTTTTGGCAAATCTGGCATTCGTCGCGTCGTGCCTGGCGAGTTCCTCGCCTGCGATCCCAAGGGTCGAGCGTGCTTGATTGCATCGCTCGAGAAGAACAAGCTCGTCTATGTTCTCAACCGGAACTCCCAAGCCGAGCTCACCATTTCTTCGCCCCTCGAGGCCCACAAGCCTGGCGTCCACGTACTGTCCATGGTAGCACTGGACGTAGGCTACGCGAACCCCGTCTTCGCCGCGCTCGAGACAGACTACACCGAGGCCGACCAAGATCCGACAGGACAGGCTGCTTTGGATGTAGAGACCCAACTCGTCTACTATGAATTGGACCTTGGTCTGAACCACGTGGTACGAAAATGGTCGGAGCCCGTCGATAACACTGCTTCTCTCCTCTTCCAAGTTCCTGGTGGTAATGATGGGCCCAGTGGAGTTCTCGTCTGCGGAGAGGAAAACATTACCTACCGACATTCCAACCAGGAGGCTTTCCGGGTACCGGTTCCACGCAGGCGTGGCGCGACCGAGGACCCTTCGAGGAAGCGTAGCATTGTTGCGGGAGTCATGCACAAGCTGAAGGGCAGCGCCGGTGCCTTCTTCTTCTTGCTTCAGACCGAAGATGGCGACCTCTTCAAGATCACTATCGATATGATTGAAGACCGCGACGGCAATCCTACGGGTGAGGTTAAGCGCCTAAAGATCAAGTACTTCGACACCATCCCTGTGGCGTCCAGCCTATGCATTCTCAAGAGCGGTTTCCTTTACGTTGCCAGTCAGTTCGGCAACTACCAGTTCTACCAGTTCGAGAAGCTTGGAGACGACGACGAAGAGCTGGAATTCTCGAGTGACGATTTCCCGACCGATCCCAAGCAGTCGTATGAGGCTGTGTTCTTCCACCCTAGGGAACTCGAGAACCTGGCACTGGTTGAGAGCATCGATTCGATGAACCCTCTCATCGACTGCAAGGTGGCCAACCTTACCGGCGAGGATGCTCCTCAAATCTACACAGCGTGCGGTAATGGGGCAAGGAGCACATTCAGAATCCTCAAGCATGGCCTGGAGGTGAATGAAATCGTCGCCTCGGAGCTTCCCGGCATCCCCTCAGCTGTGTGGACTCTGAAGCTCAGCCGCGGCGACCAGTACGACGCGTACATTGTGCTATCTTTCACCAACGCCACGCTGGTCTTGAGCATTGGAGAGACCGTTGAAGAAGTTAATGACTCGGGTTTCCTGACCTCAGTACCAACTCTGGCTGCCCAACTCCTCGGTGGCGAAGGCCTGATTCAGGTCCACCCGAAAGGCATCAGACACATCCGCAACGGTCAGGTGAACGAGTGGGCGGCCCCTCAGCATCGATCTATCGTCGCTGCTACAACGAACGAGCACCAGGTCGCCGTCGCTCTGAGCTCTGGTGAAATTGTCTACTTCGAGATGGACTCGGACGGTTCCCTCGCTGAGTACGATGAGAAGAAAGAGATGTTTGGCACCGTCACATGTTTGAGTTTGGGCGAGGTTCCTGAAGGCAGGCTCCGCAGTTCATTCCTCGCAGTCGGCTGCGACGACAGTACTGTTCGAGTTCTCAGTCTTGACCCCGAAACCACTCTGGAGAGCAAATCTGTGCAGGCTCTGACCGCTCCTCCCACATCACTCGCGGTCATAGCCATGGAGGATTCTTCCTCTGGCGGCTCAACACTTTACCTACACATTGGTCTGCACTCCGGCGTCTACCTCAGGACTGTGCTTGATGAAGTGACTGGCGAACTCACTGATACGCGTCAGAAGTTCCTCGGTCCCAAGCCGGTCAAACTTTTCCAGGTCACAGTTCAAGGCCGAACTTGCGTTCTTGGCTTGAGCTCACGACCATGGCTCGGCTATGCCGACCCGATCACCAAAGGATTTGTCGTCACGCCGCTGAACTATGTTGACCTGGAGTGGGGTTGGAACTTCAGCAGCGAGCAGTGCGAGGAAGGTGTCGTCGGTATCCAAGGACAATCTCTCAGGTATGTTTCTCTTTTTTTTCACCCCCAAACTCCTCTTGCATGAGATGATGAGAACTGGAATCCTACGCCAACACGGCACTGAGGTTTTACGCATTATTACCAATTGTTCCTACTGAAACATGCTATCAAATTATCTTTTTCTTTTGAGATGATCAGCTTGAGTACGTTCTGACAGAATACAGGATTTTCGCGATCGAAAAGTTGAGCGACACCTTGACTCAGAAGTCAATCCCTTTGACCTATACACCAAGGCGAATGGTCAAGCACCCCGAACATCCCATGTTCTACACTATTGAATCGGACAACAACACGCTCCCACCAGAGCTGAGGGCACAGCTCCTCGCAGACCCCAGCGTGGTCAACGGTGATGCGCGAACACTGCCGCCTGTAGAGTTTGGATATCCCAGGGCCAAGGGCCGCTGGGCTTCTTGCATCAGCGTCATCGACCCTTTGTCTGAAGAGCTCCAGACGCTACAGACCGTCGATCTCGACAACAACGAAGCAGCAGTCAGTGCGGCCATTGTCCCTTTCACAAGCCAGGACAACGAAAGTTTCCTGGTTGTTGGTACCGGCAAGGACATGATTGTCAACCCCCGACAGTTCACTGAGGGTTACATCCATATCTATCGTTTTAGCGAGGACGGTCGAGAACTCGAGTTTATCCATAAGACCAAGGTAGAGGAGCCGCCCACGGCCCTCCTCGCCTTCCAGGGAAGACTGGTCGCTGGTGTCGGCAAGACATTGAGGATTTACGATCTCGGTCAAAAGCAAATGCTTAGAAAAGCGCAGGCCGATGTTGCCCCGCAGCTTATCGTGTCACTAAGCACACAAGGCAGTCGAATCGTCGTAGGAGATGTCCAGCAGGGCGTGACTTACGTCGTCTACAAGGCTCTGTCCAACAAGCTGATCCCCTTCGTTGATGACACGGTTGCGCGCTGGATGACCTGCACGACGATGGTCGATTACGAATCGTCGCTGCGCGACAAGTTCGCACATCTTTATCGTGCGCGCGCTGAAAAGGCCAGCAGGAGCCGATGAAGAGGAGCGGGCCTGCATTTAACGAACACGAGGGATTATCTCCACGGCACGCTCACCGACTGAGCCTCGTCAGCCACTTTTACTCGCAGGACGTTCTCACGAGCATTACCAAGACCAGCCTCGTGGTCGGAGGTCAAGATGTGTTGCTCTGGAGCGGCATTAGCGGCACAATTGGCGTGTTCATCCCCTTCGTCACCCGTGAGGATGCAGACTTCTTCCAAACCCTGGAGCAGCACCTTCGGACAGAAGACGCGCCTCTGGCGGGCCGCGATCATCTCATGTATCGTGGCTACTACGCGCCTGTGAAGGGCGTCATAGACGGCGACCTCTGCGAGAGGTATACGCTGCTGCCGAACGACAAGAAGCAGATGATTGCGGGTGAGCTGGACCGCTCCGTGAGGGAGATTGAGAGGAAGATCTCGGATATTCGCACCCGCTCTGCATTCTAAGTCTGCGGGATAAGGCACGTTGTTTGGCGTTGAAGGCGTACGACTTGTTTTATTCTACAGCGAAAGGAGATGTTGATAGTTGATTTGGCATAATGGGAAGCGGTCGGGCGTTTCGGAGGGCCCGGGTTTCTACGAGGCCGTCGCGACGGACGGGCTTGCTTCACGAGGTAGCGAAAAGGAAAGCACAGGGACGGGTGTAACAATTGTGTACCTGGTGGCCCAGCCTTTGTAATGATGCAATGATATCTAATAACGCCACCTATCCTACTATGTCTCTCGGCTTGTGATATCCCCCCCTGTCGCGAGCACGCCTGCATCCATGAAGCGACTATTGCGTGACAGCGGAGCACGTGGTGCGGTCACAGGATCTTCCACCATCCGCCCCGGGTCGCGCCCTTGCCTTTACCCTTCCCGCCCAGCCCTGCGGTCTCCTGCGGATGCGCCCTCTCCCACGCGGCATCCGCCTCCCAGCTCTCGACGGCGGCGCGCAGGTCGTGCCCCGCCTGCTCGAGGTACAGCGTCGCGACGTCATAGTCGGCGACCTTGCACGCGACCATGAAGCGGCGCAGCGCGGCCTTGCGGCGGATCTCGTCCGCCGACTCGACGGGGTGGGGGCTCAGGCTCGGGCTGCCGGCGGGGTAGTGGCTCGCGGGGATGCGAAGGGTGCGGCGGGCCGGCAGGAGGTGGTCGGCCGGGAGGTTGTTGTGGGCGCGCAGGACCTGGGCCGGCACGTTATAGGCCAGAGACAGGGAGGTCAGCGTGTCGGTGGCGTGGTCGAGGTGGTGGATGGTGTCGTCAGCCTTTTCTTCGAGGACGGCGGGCGGCGGCGACGGCGGGGAAGGGGTGGAGGATGAGGCCGTTCCGCGGCGGCAGGACGAGGGAGGACTTGTCGCGGGTGGTCCTGAGGCCTGAGGGCAGCGGGGCGGCGGCGGCGGCGGTGGAGGTTTGGCAGTAGGGGCAGTAGAGGGCGAAGCGAGCGTTTGTCTGGACATGTTTAGACCGAGAAAGCAGAGCCCATCCGCGAGCCGTTTGCATTGGGCGTGGGAATAGTCTTGGGTTCCGAGGGGGGGCCGGCGTACGTAAAGACAGCTGCCGCAGATCGTGCGGTTGCAGCATGGCAGAGCGCGGGGCGCGGGGAGGGGCTTCTCGGAGCCTGATGTGTAACGCGGGGCCGTGGCTAGGAGTACGGCGCATGTGCAGCACGCATCGCCGGTCGCCGGCATTGACTGGAGCGACGCTTTGAGCTGCTGTGGTGGTGGGTGCATACTGAATACCGCAGCGTGGAGGACGAGTGGTGAAGTGGAGGTTGGAGGGGTCGTCGGTGATGAGCGTGATGAGCGCGATGAGCGCAAGTTGACGAAGGTGGGTGATCGAGGTGTAGGAAGCACGACGATTGAGTGCCGTGGAAGGAGAATGCAGTGTGCTGAATGAACTCTTGCGAATTCGCCATCCGAACCCTGCGCTACGTCGTTGACTTTGTTCGCATCTCAGTCAGGTACCTGGGTGTTGCAGGATACCTAGGTAGTAGGTAGGTAGGGAGCGAGGGAAGGTAGTCAGCAGAGCTACCCCTCGCATTCGCCACCCTGCTCCAACTGTTCTTGTGGTACCTCATATTCCACGTTGCCGTCTACGCCTGTTTGCTCTGCGAATACAAGCCATGCTCTGGGGCATTGTTTGAGATCTGGAGGGCTTCAGCAATTTGGTGGCTCGAGTGATCAAGCCGTATGCCTGGATGAGATTCCACACGCTTGATGGCCTTTGCTCTACGTTTGCTGTCGATATTTGAATTCATGACATGATGACAGTTCCAACGCAAGGAAAAACCCTCCCATGGGCCCATTCTAAAACTGCGCAAATAGCCCATAATTAATCCAATTATCACCAACCTCGACGTCGGGTGAGCCCTGGCCAATATACCACAGAGACTAAGGAGGGTATCAGCCCACCAGCAGAGTGATGCAAACGACTGGTGGTGGAACACGCGAGCTTCCCCACCTCAGGGCTAGCGCCGTTACTACATAATAATCACACATTACCCTGCATTTCAATTCAGCCCTTATAGCACAGTGGTAGTGCGTTGCACTTGTATGCTCTGGGTTACCATCACTCTCAGCAAGAGATGCAAAGGTCACTGGTTCAATCCCAGTTGGGGGCAACACCTTCAATTCAGGCTTTCCTTTTTTTTTCCTTTTGCCTTGACCGTCATTTGACCTCCTTCGTCATGAATTATTTCAGGGTCGATTGTTTCCCTTTACTGCTGCTACTTGTCAATCCGTGTATTGCATACACCGCGGGACCACTCAAATGCCTTGGGCATTAGGCGTTGTCGTGGCTGCGTCAACATGTTTTCTTGGCCTGTATACCGGCACCATTGAGCTCACCTCAGACTGATGTCAAGCGTTCGACACGCATCGCGATTCATCGCTCCAGGAATCATCGCCCGGTCAAGGTTTGGTGCGTACACGCCCCCCTCAGCCAGGCGTCAGCACCTTGTACCTGTCGTGGCTCGCGGGATTGTCCGAACCTGTCGACTGCATATGCCAGCATTGGGCGGGCCCCTGAACGCCAGGCCCCTCACGTTGCAAACATTGGAATCCGAAAATTGGGTTCTCAAAGTGCCCTCGTACCGAAGACACGAGATCCCAGTTGCGACTCATAGCGTTCCAAAAAAAAAAAAAGTGCGTCTTCTTCGCGAGCCCAGTTTGATTTCATCCGCAGTTGTGGAGGAAGTCAAACGCCGGGAGCCACGGGCTACCAAGGTTGTCAGCCATGGACGAGCATTTTCGACAGACGATGTAGAGCATGCGGGTTGGTCCAACACGGCACACGACGTTGCTTCTCATACCAAGACATGCAAAGCAACGATGCGTCAATTTACATCCAGACATCTACCTATTAATTTATGAACATGAAAATGCAGCCCGAAATAGTCGTCGCCCCATTCCCAATCTTTTTGTCCTGATGCCGCACCCCCCTCTGTCATCATCTCATCCCATTGCGCCGATGCGGCTGGCATCGATAGAACGCGGTGCTGAGTGGCATGAACCACTATCTTACCACCACTGCCCATAAGACCAGCACACGCCAGCACCGGTGACACCCCTGTTGACATTTATGCAGTCATTGTATTGGGCCTTGCACTTGTTCGTGGCATCCCAGAAGCTGTCGCCAAAGAATCCGCCGAAGGTGCGCTTATCGATGGCAGCATCAAGATTCGGCGAGCGGTCAGCCAGCGCTGCAGACACGGGCACTTCATGAGAAGCTCCGATTTCACGGCGGTTGCGCCAGCTCTTGAAACTCCAGCAACCCTTGGCATACACGGCGTTGCAGCTGTCGAATTGCTGGCGGCAGGCGTCGGCGCAAGCGGACGGGACATTCGGGCGCCCGTAGGAGCGGCACTTGCTGGAATCGGAGTTTGAGTACATCTTGAATGGGTTACCGCCCTTGAATTCGTGCCCGAGGTCGTTGCACGTGACGACGGGGAGGGGAATCTTGCCGACAGGGTTGCCGGGACCGTAGCCGTACCAGGGGTTGGAGGGTTGGATGCAAATTCCCTTTGGCGGGGGGGACGTTTGGGGGGGGGGAGAGACCGCACCAATAGTCGTGGAAGTGGTGGCGGCGCAGGTGAAGTGGCGAGGGTGGAGTCATGGGCTTGCCGTCGCCGATGGGTTTGTAGAAGTTCAAGTAGTCCTTCTTGGAACACGACCTGTCCCAGCCCTGCCGACACATCCAGCCACAGAACATGTCGATGTTTTGGCACCACTGCTGGAAGTTGAAGCACTCAACAGCACCAGGCCAACCCGCCTGGTTCAGGCAAGCCGCAACCTGGAGGCTGCACTTAGCCTTTGCCTTGGCGCACGTGTCCCAGTCGCTGAAATCAGGGATGGGGGTAGAGCACCAGTTGCCGCAGCAGTACTCGTGCTTGGGCGGGGTCACAACCGCGGTAGTACAAATTGCCGAAGATTTAGTGCTTGTGGTGGTGATGGTGGCTCGGGTGGTTGTGAGAGGCGCGGTGGTCGTAGGCGGGGGAGGTGCCTGGGTCGAGGTGGTGGAGGAAATGAGAGTCGTCATGGTGCAAGGAGCTTTTGTGGAGGAGGATGAAGAAGCGGAGGAGGAGGAGGAAGAAGAAGAAGAAGAAGAGGTTGAGGAGGAGGAGGAAGAAGTGGTGGAGGAGGAGGAGGAAGAGGAGGAGGAAGAGGAGGAGGAAGAGGAGGAGGAAGAGGAGGAGGAAGAGGAGGAGGAAGAGGAGGAGGAAGAGGAGGAGGAAGAGGAGGAGGAGAGAGAAGTGGTGATGGCGGAGGAGGAGGAAGAGGTAGAAGAGACGACAGTCGTCGAGCTGGAAGAGACGGAGGTGGTAGAAGTCGAGGCAGCAGATGAAGAGGTGGAGGGCTCAATGTAAGGGTGAGACGACGAAACCTCCGTGGACGACGCTGGAGACGACAAAGGAAGCGAAGAGGAGACGATCGTCAGCGAGGACGTGAGCAGCGTCGAAGTAGTCTCGGCAGAAGAAGAAACCGGGGCTGAGGACAGCGGAGGCCGGTCCGGCTGGTGGCCGCAGGGCTCGAGGGACTGGAACTCTTTGGCGAAGAAAATGTTGATGCGGGAGCGGCCACCACAGGTCTTGGTCTTGTCGCCTTTGCATGCTATGCCGCATTGCGAGGCATCGACGGAGCGCGTCTCGTTGCCCATGACGGCGCCGCACCAGCACTCCTGACCGTACTCGACACCAGCATAGGGGAAGCCGCCCTGGCGACAGGCCTCGGTGCAGAGGCTAGGGGTCATGACGGACTTGTCGAGCTGGTCCTGGGGCCAGGAGAGGGACTTGCCGATCTGGGAGTTGTCGGTCCAGCAGCCCGTGTCGACATAGTTCTCGATCGTCACGGCGTCAGTGGCGGGGAAGGTACGGTCCTCGAACACAGAAAGCTTCCTGTCACCGCCGCAAGTCTCGTTCTTGTCGCCGTTGCAGGGAAAGGAACACTCTCCGGCGGCAAGCTCGGGGCCGTTGACGGTGTTGCCGCAGTAGCAAACGCCGTAGTACTCGAGGCCGGCATAGCGGTATCCGTTGCCTGGAATGTGTCAGTACCGAGAGGAGTTTGGGGAGGCTGAGACCGACATACCCTTGCATTCGGCAGTGCACTTCTCGACAGTCATCTCGCGAGAGCTCGTGGATGAGCGGTACGTCAGAGACTTGCCATCGGTGTTTGCGTGACAGCCAGAGTTCACAAAGGGCTGAAAGTTGTCGACGCAAGGCGGCAGCTCAACGTGCCAGGCGTGGACAGTAGAAACGAGGGAAAGGGCAGCAAAGGCAGCCCAGGCCTTAATGGGAGCCATGGCAGTAGCGTAGGTGGAAACGAGTGGCTGGGAGAGAAACCAAAGGTCTTCTCCAAAGAAGCAAACAAACTTGAAGCACCAATGTCTGGTCTCTGGACAGGCTGCCCCAAGAACTCAAGAAGCGTGACGAGATGAAGAGAGGGGGGGGACAGACGGCAGCTGGAGGCGGCCAACCCCTGGAGGCTATATACCAGGCGTCGTTGGAACCCATGGCTGCGATTTCTGAATAGAGTCAGGTCAGAGCATCAAGATAAGCAAAGCCACGGCCATAGCAACGTCTTGGTCCATCGAACTGCGGCAGAGAATACGACATCGCTCTTTGACTCTACGGTGTCCCCGGAAAGGTACACGTAGGTGTGCATCGTTCGTCTATTCGCTCGAATATAGGTTTAACTTGATCAAGGCAAGATCAAGATTGGGATTTTTTTTCCTTCCATCCCGGGGGTACGGTGACCACGCCGAGCCCGCGGGCAGCCTGTGTAACCAACGAATGACCGGACGATGCACACGACGGACCATATTGTGCTCTGTTGTGCTTTGTTGCATGGGAAGGACTGACTGCCGAGCCATCCACAGGCATCCATCCATCTTTTTCCATCCACCTGAGTGCCAGGCCATCGGTGAGGTTGAGACCCCTGTTGGGTTATGCTGGCCTAGTCCGGGTTGGACTGGTCTGTTCTTCAACAGTCAGGCTCGGATCTGCTGCTGGACATTGAAGAACATGCCTCCGGGGGCTTTCCTTGGTGGGGGCAGGGATTCGATGGGTTGTTTGGTCGTCGGATGTCTGGTGGATGTTTGGTCGGAGGGAAAACGAACTGGTGGGTGGGTGGTGGCCCGAGAGTGTTGCCTCTTCTGGCAGGACGCATGACCAATGGGGGAAAACTACTAGCTTCAGGGGATGTTAGCGCCATGAGGTGGCCCAGCAGAAGACTCCTGGGTTCCTGCAGTAGCGCCCTCTGCCGCTGGAGCCAGCAGCTGGAGCAGGGGGCCTGACAGGTACGATGCAGTAAAGGCAGAAACTATAGGCATGTTAGTACATTGTGGCCCTAGCCATTGCAACCCCCCCTTTGCTTCTTCGTCTTTTTGTTTCTCCTCGCCTCGTTCTTTGTTGTTCTTTGTCCTGCTCTATCCTCCTGGCATCAATGACCGCTACTTGCCATCCCACTCACCGAGGTGGTTTTGACTGGTCCCATCGCCTTGGCCACGGAACCTAAAGTATGAACAAACAGCAAGCAACAACACTGCGATACGAGCAAATTCATGACAACAATGGGCTCAAGAGACCAAACAGCGATGCTGGCCGCCCGGACGAGTAGCCTACCACCCTATCTGGAGACTGTTACGGTAGCATCAGTTCATTTCGGACCGCAGCCGCAAAACGCGACTGCTTTTTTCCTCAGAGACTACTTGCTTACAGGTTGCCCACCCCTCATCCACTTAGACTATCAAAGACCAACGGCCGCGGGATGGCTTAAAAAAGAATACAGAGAGTTCTGACCCTCAGACGAGGAGCTTACACCCCATTGTGTTCCGTTCCGAAGCCAAGCAGGCCAAGATGGCCAACAGCCATTCATCAATCTATGTCAATTCTTCCTTGATGACCCCCTCGCTGCCCGGACCTCGAGTTCCTCTCGTGTCTAATGATTTGCGGTTGATCACCGGCTTTCCACCCGGCAGCCCGGCAAACATCGTGACGGACGCATGCTTGCCCATCATCGTAACCTCACTGACGTAGTTACCAACGGAGCCAGCTTTTGTTCGTGACATGAAACGCTCTTTTTATCTCCCTTACCGCTTGCCATTGTAGACGTCTTCCCGCCGACCCACCCCAGCCCACCGCCACTACTACCATCACCCCAACACCCCCTTTGTTAGCTCGTGAGGTCGACCAACACCACATGGGATGACAACCGCCATGTTGAGCCCTAGTCTCCGTTCCCGCCGCAGGTCTCGAGCCACACTCCCTCAAGCGATACCGCAACGCAAGTACGATCCTGGCGCACGTTCTGTGCAGGACACGTGCGCCCGGTTAGCCGAGTTCTACCTGACAGTAAGCGGTCCCAGGAAGTCCCAAGTATCGTCCAGATGGCCCCAAATCTCTCGCCCCGCGGCTAGCCCATGCCGGCACACTTCGACCTGACCTCCGGAAAAGGGAACTGGCACACCCACCCGTGCATCCGAGCCTGCTAGCTTAGCCCCAGAAGGATTTCTGCTTTGTAGAGACCCAAAGCTTGCGCGTGTTGAAGGGGCGTCTCGGTCCGGCACTTTGGGACGTCTGGCTGTATTGACAGATGTCTCGCGCGCGCCCTGCCCGCTCGCTCTCATAGCATCGGTAGTGTGTGGCTGAGATCGAGAGGCTGCCTGTGGCCCAGCTGTAGGTTTGGCGTTTTTGGGAGACATTACCCCTCTACGACAGAAGCAGCAGTTCATCTAGCTAGGTAGCTAAGGGGAGACACCATAGTTCTAGCAGACATGGCATGACGCCGTTGAAGCTGGCCTCGCTTGCACCACCGCGTTAGGTCACTGACAAGATGACTTGGCACTTCATCGGGCGTGCCCTCGACGTGGGCCTCGCCACGATCATCACGAGGCACAGGCAGGCATCGGTCGAACCAGAGTAGGCAAAATGACTAGTCTCAGAGAAACGTTTAAGATCATTACCTTACGGCCATGAATTCGACATCTTGCAAAGATGCCGACTCATTCTGCCGCCGCCTCCTCCTCTCTGCTCAGGACGGGAGACGACCTTCGTATCTCTAGAGTACAACGTGTGAATGACTGGGTAAGAAAATCTCTCAACCAAAGCAAGGCCTCGAACTCCGATGCAGGTTTTTTTGCGCAACCTCCTGATTTCCCTCTCCCTTCATCATCCTAAACTACGGCCCCTGTAGCCGTATTCCATTTACTCCTTGCGCAGGTGCCGGGGCACCCACTTGCCAGGGGCTCCCGATGCCTTGAGCTGCTCGGTCGCGGGCGCCGGCGAGGCATTACGACCCTGGTCGTCGCGATTCGAGGCGGTGCGGCCCATGGGGGCACCACCCGAGGCAGTGCGCTCCGGGCGCTCCAGACGCTCCGCCCTCTGCGGGGGAGCGCTGTTCTCAGAACCGCCAGCAGCGGCGCGTGCCGCTTCGCGGTCGCGCCAGCTGGGCTTGCCTCCATTGCCAGCAAGGCTGATGCGGGGAGGGCCGCTGGCACGATCGCTCGAGTCGGTGCGCTCCATGGGGGCGCCTTGCCGGGGAGCGGGTGGCGCGTTGTCTGAGGCGCCGGCGGAACCGCGAGCAGCCTCCTTCTCGCGCCACTTGCCGGCGCCGGGAAGGTTGAGGGGACGGCGACCTTCGGAGCTGGGCTCGGCGGCACTGCGCACGGGGGGCAACGCCCGCTCCTTCTCCTTCTCCCCCTTGCGCCTGGCGAGGGCCTCTTCTTCGCGGCGGGCCTGCATGGCCGCCTCTCC